CCCCCGTAAGTTCTCACCTTGGCCTCTGGCTTGACAAACTGGCGACTTTTGCTGAGGATCTGACAGAAATGACCGTACACCGCCTGGTCCACCAGTTTGTCGGCGAAGCAGGCAAAGTTCTCCATCAGTTTACCGATGCCCTTCTCTGTGTAGCTCAGCTGAGACAGGCAGAAAGACAGGTCACGAACCTGACGCTCCGTTCTGGAATTGAGAAAACACGACGAGCTGAAGTTCCCAGAGAGATACTGAAGGGAGGATGTTGGCCACACCGCGATGCTCAGTTCATAACACAGTCAAAGCTGGGTTTTTTTAGTAAGAGCTTTACGGCACTTGCAACACAATAAGGTCATATAAGTGGCGAAGATTAGAGGTGTTATAAGAGAGTAACAAACACAAATAAGAAGGAGGAGAGATCAGGATGATAGACATTTGGTAGGAAAGAAGAAGCAAACCACACCAGAGCACCCGCCAACCACCCTTTTTTATCATATAGTAGAGGGTTTTACGGCGCTCGCAACTGCATAAGGTCACATGAGCGCCAAGGGGTGGGTGCCAACCACCCACCCAGTAAATGTTTCTAAATGTGCAAAGATATACAACTGAACTTGCCATTGTGGTCTTTTCTCCAAAGCTCTCATCTCTACTAACGGCCACTGTTCCACCACAACCCTGTATTTTTCCTACCTGTCCACTGCAGCCAGTCCATCCTTTTTGTGAGAAGTTGCCCTCAAAATCTGCTCACATCCGTCACTTGTTACAAAAGTTTTTCGCCAGCCCATCCTCAGACTGGGTGTGAATACTTAATCAATGCAAAGAACACCCACCTGACCGCCCGGAAGCGATGACAAAGTTTCTCCGCCAGACTCTCGCAGTGTTTGCTCTTCTCGATGTGGGAGAACACGTACCTGTAGGGGGAGAGGAGAGAACGTACATACAAACATCACACATAAATGTCACATTGGGAGAACGTACATACAAACATCACACATAAATGTCACATTGGGAGAACGTACATACAAACGTCACATATAATGTCACATTGGGAGAACGTACATACAAACGTCACATTGAGAGAACGTACATACAAACGTCACACATAAATGTCACATTGAGAGAACGTACATACAAACATCACACATAAATGTCACATTGAGAGAATGTACATACAAACGTCACACAGGGAGAACGTACATACAAACGTCGCACATAAATGTCCCATTGGGAGAACGTACATACAAACGTCACACATAAATGTCACATTGAGAGAACGTACATACAAACATCACACATAAATGTCACATTGAGAGAATGTACATACAAACGTCACACAGGGAGAACGTACATACAAACGTCGCACATAAATGTCCCATTGGGAGAACGTACATACAAACGTCACACATAAATGTCACATTGAGAGAACATACATACAAACGTCACACATAAATGTTACATTGGGAGAACGTACATACAAACGTCACACAGAAATGTCACATTGAGAGAACAAGTACATACAAACGTCACACATAAATGTCACATTGGGAGAACGTACATACAAACGTCACACATAAATGTCACATTGGGAGAACGTACATACAAACGTCACACATAAATGTCACATTG